CACTACTCTTTGTGTTCTTAATTGTACAGTTTTCAATGTCCATCTCTTAAAGAGACAGCGTGTTCTCCCTTCCCCAGTCCCATCTTCCCTCCACCCTCCTGAGTGACTTCATTGTCAGGAGGGATATCCAGGGTGTCTCCCTTTGCATTCTCTTGGCCAGAAGTTACCAGACTATACTGTCTCTTTAAAAATAAAATTTAAAAAGCTTTGCTTTGTTGTCTTCTCAGACATACATATGCATATACGTTTTAGATGTTCTTATAAGAGAAAAGATGGTTTTTAAATGTGCCAAGTTGTGTATATATATAGATATATATATCTGCTGCGTGATTGGTAAGCAATACAATAGTAAACATGTCCCCATTACTTTTTTCTAATATTGGACCAATGCTGTCCTAATTGTACATTTCCCCTTATGATGACGATGCTCTGACTCGTTTAGATAGAACCATTGACCACCTTCCATTCCATTGATTCTTTTTTTTCTTTTACCTCCTTTCTATGTCAATCTTGAGGACAAAACAAAACAAAAGAGACAGGGGATGCCAAAGATCCCCTTGAGCAGAGAAAAAAAACAGAATAAATATTTTATTAAAGAAAAAAGAGAATTAAGAAAATAGTTTGGAGTATTTTCTTACTGTAGAGAAGCACTGTACATTACTAAGAGACCTGGGTATAAGATACTCACGTGTGGAGTTGGAAAATTCGCATGTCAAAGCCCGTTTGAGTGGTTTCTTTTGGTTTTCATGCAGGGAGAGGGTGGGAGGGAGGAGGGAATAGGGATACTTTGGGGGTCTCCTTTTAGTCAAAAGCAGGAAAATGACAGGAAAGAGAAGATTAAAGCTCAATGTTTCCTTTAATAGTGTTAAACACTAAAATTTTAAACAAGACATAAAAAGAAAAAAAAACTTTGTAAAATGCGAGAACAGAAGCAAAAGACACTACGCTCTGTCATTTTATCTTTCTTTTGTTGAAAGACTAAAAACTTAAATGTTTTTTAGACAATCAAATGTTAGGTAAGTGCAAAAACTTGTTTTTTCTTACTGGTGTAGAAATTAATGCCTTTTTTTATTTTTCGGTTATTTTATAATAACGAAATAAAAAGAACCCCCCAGCTGCCAGGTGGGTTTTGGTGTTTGAAATGCGGGGCAAAGCACTACATCACTGCAAATAGATACAGAGTTAGTCTGCATGTCTGTAGGCTGTGTGATTGCGGAAAATATAAATGCTGCTAATATATTTCCTTTTTACAAAAGCATATCTAAATAGATGATTGTTTTGATGTTAATCTTTGTAAATTATGTATTACCAATTTTAACATTGGATGTAATTGCATAAAAAGCTTGCATCTCAATCCTTGAAAGTCTAGTATTAAATGGAAAAACTTTTCCTAACTGTGGAGTGGTGAGCTTGCTCTTTTTTCCCCTCTTTCCTACCCTCCATTTATCTTCCAGGATCATCTCCGGCCTGTCTTTGAAGGGATCTTCCTAAGACCACATCATCAGCTTCCTGGGCTCCACAGGAGCACAGTCCCCAGGGTTGGCTACTGGATAAAGCCAATTCCTTATACCTAGGATCTTTCTAGTCTCAGCCTACCCTAACAAATCAAGATCATCACCTACAGTAAATGTTGTTTCTCAAACATGCTGTGCCACCCTACACTGTTCTCCCTTGCATAAACAAGCATCATCTCATTTAATGCTCCCTAATGACCTCCAAGGTTGGCAACAAAAGTTTTAGAACACTTTTAGGCCCCTGTATGTTGGACCACTTCCATTCTAAGCAGTTTCCATGTTTTCATTTATTTATTTAATCCTAACGGCAGCTGTTTAAGGTAGCTACCGTATCCCAGTGTTAACATAAGTTAAGAAACTGAAGCAGCAGAGAGGTTGAGTAACTGCCCAGGATCTCATAGCTTGTTAATAAAACAGTCCTCTGAAGTTTCTTTTCCCATTTTATAGAAACAAATGATGCTTAGGGAGGTTAAGTAACTTGCCAAAGATCACCTGGGTGACTATTGTTTAAGCCATAATTGCAAAGTCTGCATTCTCATCCACAAAGAGAAGTGTGAGAGAGAGCCACAGTGACCCTACTGATTATGGAGGATAACCCACTCCTTCCAACAGCTGGAAGATCCAGCAAAGCCTTGGTCCTGGATATAAGCCACACACCCCATCTAGGAGTTCACCTAGAATTCGGTTACTAAAGCAGGAGCACAAGTGGCTGTGAGAGCACCGTCTCTGCTCCTGTGAGGACTTGGGATTCAAGTCTCTGGATCAAGGTGCTCCACTGTTACAGACACGTCTTTAGAACTGCAAAAACAACACATGAAGAGTTAAATTTTCTTAAGTTTTCTATTTTTAACTCATTTAAACTTTGATACCTACTACAGCTGTTCTACATAATATGTAATAGTACAAACCAAATTTTGTATCATTGTTAGTTTGCTTCATGGTGTTTTGCAAGGAGGTCCCGCTGCTCCACTCCCTCCAGTAGAAGCCTGAAAGCTGTTAGGCCATGACTGCAAATAGCCCACCAGGCCAGAGCTCACTGATGCTCTACCAGTGTCATTCCAGGATTCTTGCCAGGAATTTAGGATTACTCAATCTGCAAACAAACATGTGGGAATAGGACTCAGAGAAAGGAGACAGCAGGCTGAGTCGTGGGAAATGAAAGCTCTGTATCAAAGTGTCTCAAACTTCAGGACTTGCAGGCCTCCTGAGATGAAGCCACAGATCTTGCTTTCAGAAATGCTAGTACCAGTGCAAAGTAATAGTCTTCCTTGATACCACTTTATGATTTTAAACATTATAAGGGTAAAACTCAATTCCCAGAGAAACTCAGAATCCAGTTGAGAAACATTAGGAAATACCTGAAATGCTAACTGGGATCTAAAGTTGAGAGGGCAGCTAAACGCAAAAGCAGAATTAAAGCAAGGACAGATGAACGACAAAGTATGAGGCATTTGAGTCTAAACTTGCCTGCTCATGAGAACTTTAAGGTCTTTAAATCTTGTGATTTCTACTTCTCTAGCTTCCCTCTTCTCTCCTGTTACCGCCCATTGTGTTAACCAGGCTCCCTCCCAAGATGAAGGAAAACTTGCAGATTCTTTGGCCCTGTGTTTCACCATATAGTTCTCAGCATCTTCCTATCTTTCCTGTTGCCTGGTTAAAACTTTCTATTCTGGATTTTCTGGTGTTTCTCTGCTATCTAGAAAATCCTTTCTGATTCTCAACCCCACTCTCAAACCTCTGTATTTTTTTTAGCTATTCTCATTATGTCAAAGAGTGAGAGGAAATGTGTTACTTCCTGGTGAAGTAATAGATGTCAAACTATTTTGCTTTTTCTTGAAAGTATCTGCAGAGGAGCTCTGGTAGCATAGTGGCTAAGGCACTTGACTGCTTACCAGAAGGCTGGCGGTTCAAACCCACCAGCCACTCCTTGGAAGGAAGGTTGGGCAATCCTATTTCCGTAGTGATACTGCCTCGGAA